TACACTAACATGTTATTATCACTCAAAGTCCATAGTTTACATTACAGTTCACAATCTTGGTGAAACTATGGGTTTGACAAATGTATAATTGGCGTCTATCCACTATTATATTATCATAAAGAATAGTTTCACTGCCCTAAAATCCCTCTGTTCTGCCTGTTCATCTTACTCTCCCCTCTAACCCTTTGGCAACCACTGATCTTTTTGCTATCTCCATGGTTCTGCCTTTTCTCGAATGTCATATGGTTGGAATCATGCAATGTGTAGCCTTTTCAGGTGGGCTTCTTTCACTTAGTAATGTGCATTTTTATCCTTGTCTTTTCATGGTTTGATAGCTTATTTCTTTTTAGCATTAAATAATATTCCATTGACTGGATGTACCACAGTTTATCCATTTCAACTTGTTTTTTTTTTTAAGTTTATTTATTTAGAGAGAGAGAGACAGAGAGACAGAGTGAGATAGAGAGAGAACAAGAAGGGGAGGGGCAGAGAGGAGAGATAGAATCCCAAATAGGCTCCATGCCATCAGTGCACAGCCTGATGCAGGGCTCAATAATGACCTGAACCAAGATCGGGAGTTGGACGCTTAACCAACTGCACCACCCAGGCACCCCTCAACTCGATTTTTACTGAGAAGATCTCTTTTTGTACTCCCATTTCATTGGTTTATATAATACTGAATTAAATTACCCACACACAATGACAAATAAAAGTGGCATAAACCAGTTTGAAGCAAACAATGATCAGTGAAGCTAGGTAAACACAGGCAATCCAAAGACTGTGATTAACGACTATTTTGCTGGCTTGTGTTAAGAAGGGAATGGGAAGCTTCAGGCAGCCTGGGAGTCTGTTAGTGCAAGGTGCATGAGAGAACTCCTGCCCTAGAATGTTGGGGAACTTGTGTTCTAGGGCACACTGCTGGGAATGCTGGCCTCGGCCACCCTCTTTTAAGTGTTTGGATTGTGCTTCCCTTAAGCAAAACATTTTTGTCCACTCACTGTTAACATATGTATATTTGTGTATTTCTAACTACCTACAACACTATCACTGGCTAATACTGTATAGTATGATGTACTCAGGGCCAGGCTCATTAACAATGAGAATGGAGCTCAGTCTACATTCCTAGAGTTTTCTTGACCTTTTGAAATTTTTTGTCTGACTTCTTATCAGATGTGGTTAACTTATCTTTTTTAACCTCATACTGTGGCTGAAGATAAGCATGTACCAGGATTAGAAATGTCTTTACTATTACTTTTTTCTTTTTTTTTTAAATTTTTAATGTTTATTTTTGAGAGAGAGAGACAGAGTGTGAGTGGGGGAGGGGCAGAGAGAGAGGGAGACACAGAATCTGAAGCAGGCTCCAGGCTCTGAGCTGTCAGCACAGAGCCTGACGCAGGGCTCGAACTCACAAACCATGAGATCGTGACCTGAGCTGAAGTTGGACGCTTCACTGAGCCACCCAGGCACCCCTGTCTTTACTATTTCTTAGTGCTTGCTTGTGGATTGCCTCCAAGTGGTCACTTCAGGACACCTCAGTGTGTAGTGTGACATGTGACTTCTTACATATGGATTTAATCTACTTAGAAGTTTTAATATCTTCTTCCCACACTCCTGGGATATACGCACTCCACTTTGGAGACTGCTGACCTTATAAATGTTCAGAGAAATTGAGAAAATCAATTAAAAATGACTTGAATGCTAAAATGCTAAATATGGAGAATAGCAGAGCCTTTTTGAATCAGTGGAACCCATCTCTATGCTAAGCCAAGCCCTGAAGCTGAATAAGATTGTCTGGAGCTGCTTTTTTTTTTTTTTAATTTTTTTTTTTAACGTTTTATTTTATTTTTGGGACAGAGAGAGACAGAGCATGAATGGGGGAGGGGCAGAGAGAGAGGGAGACACAGAATCGGAAACAGGCTCCAGGTTCTGAGCCATCAGCCCAGAGCCCGACGCGGGGCTCGAACTCACGGACCGCGAGATCGTGACCTGGCTGAAGTCGGACGCTTAACTGACTGCGCCACCCAGGCGCCCCTGGAGCTGCTTTTTAAAGCTCCCAGGGGAGCACTAGTTCAGCTATCACAAACCAACACTGGAAGAGGTGTGGCTGCTGCATTTTCGGATGCTCACTGACAAACTGGAAACCCATTCAGAAGCTCTAGAAGAAGACTAAGCTCCAAGACAAGGTGGGAAAGAGGGAAAAGATAGAGAGGTATTAGAGGGCTGATTTCTGGCAGGCACAAACATAGACACCAGAGTTGTCCAACAGGGAAAGAGGAGACCCTGAGGGAAGGACAAGAGCCTGGCATGTCCCCTGGATCTCAATAGTCTCCATTCCCAACTCCCTCTGTAGAAATCCCTAACCCCAAGGTAACCTTGAACTCAAAGGGCGGCCCATGTCGGAAGCCCCATCCACTATGACTGCTTTTTGCACTGAGATGAGCAGTAGGAAGGTGGAGATTCCAAGGTTTTATTGCCTTCTTCGAAGTTTCCTAGCCCACAAATGTCTCAGGAAGACTACACTGAAGAACACCGGGCACACGGTGGGGACTCCATCACTTGCACTGAGGGAACTCACTACAGGATGATACTCACATTGAGTCAACAATAAGAAAACACCCTCACTATTGGCATTTACATGCACATGAGTACAGAATTTGAACAAGAGTTTACAATTGGCCAGTACACTCTAGCCAAAGTAAGTTTTGATAATATCTTTTTTTAAAATTAACGTTTATTTAGGGGCGCCTGGGTGGCGCAGTCGGTTAAGCGTCCGACTTCAGTCAGGTCACGATCTCACGGTCCGTGAGTTCGAGCCCCGCGTCGGGCTCTGGGCTGATGGCTCAGAGCCTGGAGCCTGCTTCCGATTCTGTGTCTCCCTCTCTCTCTGCCCCTCCCCCGTTCATGCTCTGTCTCTCTCTGTCCCCCCCAAAAATAAATAAACGTTGAAAAAAAAAAAACTGAGAACTGAGGGTTGATGGGGGGTGGGAGGGAGGAGAGGGTAGGTGATGGGTATTGAAGAGAGCATCTTTTGGGATGAGCACTGGTGTTGTATGGAAACTAATTTGACAATAAATTTCATATAATAAAAATAAATAAATAAATAAATAAATAAATAAATAAATAAAAATAACTCTACCCCGCCCCTCTGCCTAACTCCCACCAGCCCCTTATGGAGGCTCTTTCCAAGCACAGCTGACAGCACCCTGCACAAGGCAGCACACAGAGCCACAAAGCAAAAAAGTTTTGTCCCTTGCCCCCCATCTGGGTGTCTCATTAAACCACAGCCTGAAACATGAAGATGGTTGCACCTGCTGTGCACTTGTGGATTTTCTCCCAAGACTCAGAGGGGAGTTGCCTGGAAGCAGCCATCACAGCACAATAACACGTGCTTTTTGTGTCTTGTTAAATGTTCTGTAAATGAAGCTCAACCACACTCAGCTTTCTGGTGACATTCAGCTCTCTGGTGACACCCCTAGCCGAGAAGTGGCTTGCCCTCTCACTGCACAGCCTTCTGCCAAAGCCCTGTTCATAGAATTCAATTACTCGAAGCACTGATAAAATGACAATGTCTTAGGTGAGGACAGATGTTATTAATTAACATTATAATGTCTGTGGACTTTGTCTCAAGAAGAAAATCTAATTTAGTTTGCTAGTCAAACAACCCTTCCATGGTTCAAAGGTTTTGAGTTTTCCTACAGAATTAGTAGGAGTTAGGAGTAGACAGTTCAGACAGGACCAGCTACGTAATCTATGGCACGCTGTGCAAAATAAAAATGCAGGGCCTCTTTTCCAAAAAGCAGGGAAGAAAAGCACCATTATAGATACTAAAATATAGTGTTTTCTTTCTTCTGCAGTCTCTTTCTTGACCTGTCATGGTGTTTTTATTTGTTTTTAATGTTGTACTCCCTAGGCATGGGAATGCTTGTGAGGAGAGTGAGACACTCACTCCGAGGAGCTCTACCCTGTGACTGGGAGCATGAGTGCCTGTGTAGCTACTGAACTGAGGTTCTGTGCCCTGGCCAGGGGTGGAGAAGTTGAACCAGGCACCTTTCCCTCCCAGGGGCCCACTGTGGACAGGCAATCCCAAGGGTATTGTAGCCTCTGTCCTGGGATATTGTACAAATCTAAGGATAGGCAATAGGCTTGCTCCCACCGAGTCACCCATTAGATGTACCATGATGTTGCCAGACTAGGGTCATTGAGTTTTTACTAGGTACACATATCCCCATCCTCCTCCTGCTCAGCAACCGCCCCCCCTCCCTGGAGTGGAGGGCAGCAGCAATGGCCTGGTGGGGATGGTGAGGGGGAGATTAGGGGCACCCAGGGTACTAGAGAGCAGACGAATAGGTAGCTAAGAGCCATTCGGCAAGGTGGGGAGGCAGTAAGAAGCAGGACTTCATGTAAGGCAAGGCTCCAAGTCTTGGTGCATTCTCCATTGACTCACTGGATTCCGCTTACAAAACACAAACTCTTAGTCAAAATTAAGAGTTTCAAGATGGCAGCCATAGAACATTAAGCCCCAAGTACCCCTGAATCCTGTGTGAGTGTGCAGATCACATGTCCATGAAGTGACCCTGACTTTAGAGCTCAAATGAAAGGAAATAATTTTGATTACCTTCCCACCCCAAATACATGTGTTTGTAAGATTTTGACATTTATATGTTATATATATGTATAATACATACGTGCACTTAAATATATTACAAGTAAGAAAAGCTTATATGTTTTCCCCATTTCAACTTTATTTCAGTTATGAGTTAATCAACAGAGCTGAAACTGAACTTAACAAATGTTTTCTATTTAAAAAATTTTAAGTGGAAGGAAATATGTCAAAATGTTAATAGTTCTCTCTGGGCCAAGTTATTAAAAAGTAATTTTTACATCATTGTCTGGACATTATAGTACCTTTTTACCATGAAAATGACACATGGATTCCTTTCATAATTAGGAAAAAACCAATAAATGCTATTTTGTAAAGTAATAAAATAAACATACTTTACCTGTAGGGAGAGTACCCTGGTCCTTGGACTTTTCTGATACAACCAGTGCTCTTTCTGTCTTAACTTTTCTTAATACTTCCTGGATCATATGAATTTCAAGATTTTCCAGAAGCTTCTGAAGCTAGAGTAAGAAGTTTGAGTCACTTTCTACACTCAGCTTATACTCTAAGCTCCCAAGTCACATTCCTGGAGAAGGGTCTGGGATTAGGTGCTGTCCCTTAGCTACTTTCTCCCGGGGAAGACGAAAGGGTTCCTTTCCTGGATTTCTAAGTACTTCTGCGACCGTAGATATACCTCTTTGGGGATCAGCATCTTTTCCTGGTCCACATCCCCACTGATAAAACATAACCTTTTATTTATTTATTTTTATTATTTTATTTTATTTTTTTAAACCAAGTTCTGCTAAATTGCAAAGTGCTCAATGTCTGAGGTGACCTCATGTGTTTGGGGGTCTCTAAATGTGGCCAGGAATTTCATGAGCTGTTATTACAAGAGAAACCCCTGGGCCTGAAACTTGATTTAGATATCCAGAGGGATTTCATGAGAAGATTAAAATTCTAAACATGACCAATAGAAAATTTTCCCAATAACCATGAACCCTTACTTTATCCATTATGCTTGTTGGGCCCACATTTCTCCCTGTCAGAGGACCCCAGGTACTAGAGAGAACCGGGATTCAGAAGGGTAAGCAAGGGGATTCGGGACTGGGATGTGTGTATGTTGGAGGCGGGGGAGCTGAATTCTCCTTGATGTTCAGGGCACGTGAATCTCTGCGTTGACACTCAAACAGCTAGAGGTTTTGTTTGCCTGTGACAGTGAGCACAGCCACATTGGGTCTATGTCCTAGGACAAAGGTAAACAAACACTTGGGAAAACAGCCTCTCACATAGATCATCTAGCATACACCAAATGGATTAGTGCATAAATTGCGTGGTCTTACTCTCAGAAAAAAAAAAAATCACAGGAGCTATTTTAAATACATTCCATTGCCATGGGTGTGGGGGGGGGGCAGATAATTGTGTGCCAGATTTTATGGGTTTTTTTTTCAGTTTATTTATTTGTTTTGAGAGAGACAGAGACAGTGCGAGTGGGGGAGGGGCAGAGAGAGAGTGAGAGAGAGAATCCTAAGCAGGCTCTGCCCTGTCAGAGCAGAGCCCCACATTGGGCTCGAACTCATGAACTGTGAGATCATGACCTGAGTTGAGATCAAGAGTCAGACCCTCAACCAACTGAACCACGCAGGTACCCCTAGATTTTATGTTTAAGATGCTAGTAGTTATGTTCTCTATCACAGTCTTTTTTTGTGTGGTAGTCCACCTTAATTTGAGGAAAATCAAAATATGAAGATTCAGACTTACAAAATGGGAACATTAGGGGTAGTTATTTCCTTAATCAAAGCCCTACATGCCTTTAGGTACTTAGTTCCTTCTGAGCCTGTTCAGTGATTTACACACCTACAATCTACACTTAATGTCTTAGAAAAAAAACCACTTGGGTGTATCTGTAGTATTACATGCTTATGCCATAAAGCAAATTTTCAAAGTCAAATTCCAAATGGCTCCCGCATACCTGTTGAATTTTTATTTCAATTTCTGAAGCTCCTTCAGGGGGAAGAATAGACTGACTACTTATTATGAGATCTTCAAATTCATCTTCTTTCCCCATCCGCCTAGCTATAGCTTTCATGCTGGGGTAGAGGATGTCAGTTCTATTAGAGAAGAGAGACCAAAATTAGTAAACAAACATATTTTTTCTCATTCAGATTCTCTGACAATTATTTTCATTCATGTTCTGTCTCCGGTCATCATGTATAAACTTCCCAACCCATTTTAGATACTCACATCGACATCTAAATTCACTATAGTTGTTGCACCCTTAGTCAATATTAAATCCTAGGCCTTTTCCCACTGGGCACATTTAATTTTCGTCTTCATTTAGTCTTTAAAATATTGACAAGTTTTGGGGCACCTGGGTGGCTCAGTCGGTTAAGCAGCCAACTCTTGATTTCAGCTCAGGTCAAGATCTCATGGTCTATGAGTTCAAGCTCTGCTTGGGATTCTCTCTTTTTCTCTCTCTCTATGCCCCTCCCCCTACTTGTGCTATCTCTAAAAATAAATTAATAAACTTTAAAAAAAATTGACAAGTTTTCTCATTCCCTAGTTACCAGGAAAGCTGACTGTGATAATTCATAAAATAGACCACAAGGACTATGGCACCAAAGAGAACCTTCTTATGCCCAGTAAGGTCAAAGGATGGTAAATGCTTGTTTGATAACAGACACATGGAAGAGGCAACATATCTTTTCTGACAGCTAATTCATCCCAGCCAGAGCCTGAAGTGTGAAAACACCCTACCATCCCACAGACCTAAGATCTCATGTTGCACCATATTATACCTCTGGCCGTAGTGGGTGAAACTCTCAGAGACTCAGCACTTGGGTCTAATGGGGTAGAAAGTAGGGAAGAGTTCACAGCAGCAGCATCTCCCTACCCAGTGCTTGCTGGGATCCTATGAACTAAAAAAGCTTAGAGTCAGCACCATGGGAACACTTGAGAAGCACAAGTTCCCAGGGACAGAACTCTGGGTAAATGATGTACAGTATTGCTTAGTGGAACCCAGCACTGTCCCTGAATTCAGTAGAACCCAGCTTTTCCAGTAAAGCACTGTTTATAGAGACATATTGCCCAGCTTCCTCTGAGCTCGGTGGGGCTGGGCATACCAGAATTCATGGACCAAATCTCTCCCTCAGAGCAAGGGGCAGGAATGTGCCAAGCCTCAGATTCCACTCATCCACGAGAATTTCCACCTTAGCAACACTTACCCGTAGAGTTCTGAGAACTGGTTGTGGAGGGAGACAGAACTGCCGTCCTGGCCTTGCAGTTTGAGCTGGCCCCAGTGGTCCTTCAGCACTTCCAGCTGCTTCCACAGCACCAGAAATGATCTCAGGAAAGCAAGAGACATCATCGTATCGCATGGGCCCCTCAGCAGCTCGGAGACCTTGGGGCTGCTTTGGAACTGACTTCTGAATCCTGGCACTCTGGACAAATCTGGCTGAAAGCATTATAGAAATTCTTCTTTATTGATCATAGGTCAATATGCGATGACATTTTACATGCAGCCCATGCAGAATGAACATTTTGAGAAGGCCTATTCTCCCCAGGAGGAATGGTTTGCAGGCCTATAGCACATTTAAAGCTTAGAGAGAGTAAACATCCTTCCTAAATAGACAGCATACAGAAAAGAGGGAAATGTCTCCATTTCAGCTTCCTGCTTGGGTCTTGAGCCACTCATTTTAAAAACTCTTTACTTGGGTACTAACATTTTATCTGCCTTTGAAAAACGGAGCCTTTCATGTTCAGCCTCTGCATTCTGGAAAGTGCCTTTCAACACACTTGAGATTTAATTCCCCATCACGGTGGAGCTGTAATAAAACCTTAAATTAGGGATTTTACTCATTTTGTGGGTGAAGAAATGGAAACTTAAATTTACCTTATCTCCTATTCCTTCTCCCATCCTTTAAAAGTTCACATGTCTCTTAATTTGAATTTATTATTCAATAGGCAATTATACTTTAGGATTATTTGTTCATTCATTCATTGGTGCTTTCCTTAAGTGTTTGTTGAGGGACTGCTATGAGCCCTGGAGAATTAGAGGGAACAAGGTTTTCAGGTCCCCTCTCCAGCAGCCAGTGGTGTGAGGTCCAGGGTCACCCAGAGAGTGACAGACAAAATGGGGACCTGTGTCCAGGAACCTCAGCCTGATGACAGTGTCTCAGTCACAGGAAAAGGAATATTCCTTTGCAGAAAAGGTGGCAAACCTGGATCATAATGTTATGACAAGAAGGGCCTCAGAGAACATTCAGGTAACAGCACCTCAGAGGCTCAAGTTTCTTGGCTCAGAACAGGAAGAACCACCACCTAGTGTAACTGGATCCCAGATCAGTACTAGTAACATATCTAAAGAAAGGCGTGGCTGCCAGAAAGAGGCTTGGTCAGAGGCAGAGTTGGCCAGCCAGACCCAGGGGACAGCCAGCAGCTCCTGTACACAGCTGACAACCCCTCAAGTGACCTACCTACTCAACAGCAAGCTAACCCAGGCACTTCCAGATTTGCTTTATCCTCAGAAAATTTTCACCAAATGACATCTTATGCAGTGGCCAAAAATATTCAACAGGCCAAGGCTGAACATGGTGACTGGGAGGGGGCAGCGTAGAGGCCATGTAATTGGCCCCCTCTGCTCAAAAAGCCCCAGGATGCTCCTTTTAAAGGGCTTGTGTGCAGTTTCACCCAAAGACCCAGTTAAAAAATGCCAGTTTAAAAAGCGCCTAGACTATATGTGAAGGCGATTTATTTGCTGATCTAAAAGCATCTGCTGGAGGAGCAGGGGCAGTTGGACTTTCCCCAGAGATGAAGGATGCCACTGGCAGATGCCAATATTTCACTCTCCACCTATCCTGCTAGCACAGGTGGGTGAACTCAGATGCAAAATCCTCTCCGCCACCACCTTGCTAAGACAAGTGGGGCGATGGACTGTGGCACTATCCCCTTTACCTTGCTGAAGCCAGAGCAGGCACCAGTGCCAACACTTCCCTGCTCCCCAGCTGGGGCAGGCAAGAGCAAACAGTAGCAGCAGTCTCCCAGTCCCGAACTAAAGCTGGTTGGTGAGCACAGGTGGTTGCAACACTCCCCCACTCACTGGTTGGGGCTGGCAACTGTGAGCAGTCCTGGCATTTTTCTGCTGGGAGCCTGAAGCCAGAATATGCACCCAGACAAGGCACTCTCCTGCTGCATTCCTGAAACCCCTGGGCACATGCAGTCAAGACCCTTTCCTGCTGCCTTTCTAAGCTGGAGAGTGTGCCCCACCCCCTACACTCTCTAGCTGCTTAGTTAAGCCAGTGGATATGTGCAATCCATACAGAGGATGCTCCTTGACTGCCTGGCCCTCACGGCCAAGGGGGCTGACATTCCTGAGCTCCAAGGGAATATAAGAATCAGAAAGACAGTACTTGGCAGGCCACCACTCCAGGGCACTGCAGACAGCCAACTGAGACACAACCTTGCCTTCCTGTGACAAAAGCCCATTTACTTATCATGGGGCTTCAGGCTGAAGAACAGGCTTCAAGTTTTCTATACATCTAGAGGCTACAGAAGTGCTCCCAGGGAACATTAAGCAGGAAGACAAAGTCGCAAGAAACAACCAAGAGCTAGGGCAAGGTTGAATGAGAACTTTCATCAACTGCACAAGAGCATGCCAACGCTGAGAGAGGTAACTGTCTGGCCTAATACATAGACACAAACACAGAAAGTCAAGAAAAGTGAGGAAACAGAAAAATATGTTCCAAATGAAAGAATAAGATAAAACCTCAGAAAAAGGTCATAATGCTATGGAGATAAGGATTCTATCTGATAAAGATTCAGGGTAATGGATGCTTACCAAACTTGGGAGAGGAATGGATTTACATAGTAAGGACTTCAACAAAGAAATAGAAAATATAATAGTATGAAACAGGAGTTCTAGAGCTGAAGAATATAATAACTGAAAAATACACTAGAGGGGTTAAACATCAGACTGGATGAAGCAGATGAACAGGTCAGCAAGCTGGAATACAAAGTAATGAAATTCACCCAGACAGAGCTGCAAAAGGAAAAAGGAATTTTAAAAAATGAAGATAGCTTAAGGGACCTATGAGACAACATCGAGCAGAATAACATTTGCATTATAGAGGTCCTAGAAAGAGAAAAGAAAGAGAAATGGGCAGAAAACTTATTTGAAGACATAATGACTGAAAACTTCCCTAACCTAGGGAAGGAAACAGATATCTAGGTTCAGGAATACCAGAGAGTTCCAAATAAGATGAACTCATTTTAATTAAAGTGTCAAAACTTAAAGAGAGAATCTTAAAAGCAGCAAGAGAAAAATTATTATTTACAAGGGAAACACCATAAGGCTATCAGCAGATTTCTCAGCAGAAATGTTGCAGGCCAGAAGAAAGTGGCATGACATATTCAAAGTACTGAAAGGCAAAAACTTCCAACCAAGAATGCTCTACCTAATGGTTATCATTCAGAATTGAAGAAGAGAGAGAATTTTTCAGGCAAAAGCTAAAGGAGTTCACCATTCCTAAACTGGCCTTACAAGGAATGTTAAATGGACTTCTTTAAGCAGAAAAGAGATGTCACTAATTAATAACAAATATACATACAAAAGTAAAAATATCACTGGAAAAGGTGAATGTATAGTAAAGATAATGAGTTAATCACTTATAAAGCTACTGTGGAGGTTAAAAGACAAAAGTAAAATTAACTAAAACTACAATGATTAGTTAAGAGATACATAAAATAAAAATATGTAAAATATGATATAAAAAACATAAAATGTGAAGGGGTGTGGTAATAAAAACATAGAGTTTAGAACATGGTCAAATTTAAGTTGCTATCAACTTAAAATTGGTAGTTATATACATAGGATGATATATGCAAGCCTCAAAATAACTGTGTAGCAAAAACTCGTATAAACTACATAAAAGAAGATGACAAAGGAAACTAAACATAACACTGAAAAAAGTCATCAAACCAGAAGGGAAGAAAGAAAGAAAAAAAGGAAGGAACAGAAAGGAACTACAAAAACAGCCACTCAACAAGTAACAAAATGGCAATAAGTACATACCATCAATAATTAAAATAAATGCAAATAGGCTAAATTCTCTAATAAAAAACATAGAGTGGTTGAATAGACAGAAAAGCAAGGCATATTTCTATACTACCTATAAGAGACTCACTTCATAAGTAAGGACACACACTGACTGAAAGTGAAGGGATGGAAAAAGGTTATTCCATGCAAATGGAGATAAAAAAAAAAGCTGGTGTAGCTTTAAACAAAATAGACTTTAAAGCAAAGACTATAATAAAGGAAAAGCATTTCTAAATATATGTTCATCCAACGTAAAGCACCAAAAATATAAAATAAATATTAAGAGACCTAAAGGGAGAAAATGACAGCAGTACAATAATGGTAGGGGACTTTGACATCCCACTTACATCAATTGATAGATCATTCAGACAGAAAAATCAATAAGGATACATTGGCCTTAAGTGATAGAAAGAAAGCCCAAGTTAGTAAAAGGAAGATATAATAAAAATCAGAGCAGAAATAAATGAAATCAAGACTAAAAAGATAATTTTAAAAATCAATAAAATAAAGAGGTGGTTCTTTGAAAAGGTAAACAACATTGAGAAACCCTTAGCTAGACTCACCAAGAAAAAAAAGAGAGAGCTTAAAGAAATAAAATCAGAAATAAAAATCAGAAGTTACAACCGATACCACAGACATACAAAGGATCATAGAGACAATTATTAACAATTATACACAAATAAATTGTACAATCTAGAAGAAATAGACAAGTGCCTACAAATTTACAATCTTCAAAAACTGAATCATAAAAAAAAGCAAAAAACAAAAAAATCAAAATAGACCAGTTACCAGTAAGGAGATTAAATCAGTAATCAAAAACCTCCAAACAAAGAAAAGTCCAAGACCAGACAGCTGGTGAATACTACCAAACATTCAAAGAAGATTTAATATCTGTCCTTGTCAAACACTTCCAAAATATTAAAGAGGAGGGAATGTTTCCAAACACATTTTATGAGGCCAGCATTACCTGATACAAAAACAGACAAGGACATCACCTCCTCCAAAAATCATTACAGGCCAATATCCCTGATTAACACAGATACAAAAATCCTCAACAAAATATTATCAAACCAAATTAAACAATACATTAAAAGGATGATACACCATGATCAAATGGGATTTATTTCAGGAATGCAAGCATGGTCCAACATCCACAAATCAATCAACATGATACACCACATTAATAAAATGGAGATAAAAATCATGATCATCTCTACAGACACAGAAAAAATATTTGCAAAAATTCTCATCCATTTATGATAAAACTTTCCACAAAGTAGGTAGAGAGGAAATGCTTGTCAATGTAATAAAGGCCATATATGACAAACCTCCAGCTAATATACTCAATGGTGAGAAGATGA